GAGTGAACGTAAAACTTCGGACACTAATTCTTTCTTTTAGATATGACAGGTATCATATGCATATTACGTATATATCAAAAATGAAATTTTGGTATCAAAGAATGTAGAAGTATAGGTCTTTCGCTTCACTCCAGACAATTATTCATAAACAAACAGTATAAAAAACTAGACAAACTTCGTGGTCCGCATTCTTTGTCATTTTATTACAAACCACCCTTAAAATTTTATAGAAAGAACCTTCTAATGCTAAAGAATTTGTGAACTTATAACGGGAATCTATTAAGTTTAAAAAACAAATTTCACATAAAATTTAGGTGCGTCGATCATTTGACCCACTATTAAATAGACTATACAATTTTTATAGTATTATGCTATATGTATTTATTATATACCTTCGGATATTGAAACCTCAACCTGGCTCGTCTTCTAAGTTCATTGATTTTTACATCGAAATTTCTCTTCCACACATCTCAAAAGGTACGTCTACCAATCATATTTGAGCCACATGACCTGAATGCGAAGCATATGCGATGCGAAAAAATGGTCAATTATGCGCATATAGCATTGAATCGCATAATTCTGGACCTTGCGCAAGGTAAAACTAGCATATATTCCACAAATTATATGAACTTGCGCGAGGTGCAAGGTAACGTCATCTAAAGCGAAATTTTGAATCTAGCGAATTCATTAGTTTCAGTAAAATCCATAAATTACTAATGCTGAGTTTTTTATATTAAGGATCTACCTTGCACAAGGTATGGTGTAATAACTTGCGCGAGGATGAAATTATCATCAATTGCAAGGTACATCTCTATTCTGGACACCCTAATATCGGGTGACTGTTAGACGTCACCCTCACATGATAATAAATAGATATCAGCTACATTTTTTTATGGGTGATACTAGGATGGCTCCAGAAACCTCTAGAAAGCTAAATGCTTAAAAGTTTCAGAAAAGTATATGTCCATTGCAATTAATAGATAAATTACTATTTAAGATTTTTTGAGTATAAACATTGTTTTTCTCATCAATTTTATTTTAAATGCGATGGGATTTAAATGCTTAAGCTATTTACATAATAGACCATTGGAATTAAACTGCCATCGTCGTGATATATACGTAATATGCATATGATACCTGTCATATCTAAAAGAAAGAATTAGTGTCCGAAGTTTTACGTTCACTCCGCTTGGACTGAAGCATAATATATGAATTGCATAAATTAGATAAAAAATTTTGTAAAATAAAGGTGCATAAAATTGTCAACAGTTACCTCAAAAAACGCTCGAACATCTTGCTCTGTCACTGTCTTTCCAGAATCATCAAATGGTTTTAAAAATTCCACAAGATCATCTCTATGTTTTAACAAGTAAAAATGGTATATGTGAATGTCGATGTTTACAAAAATTATATACTTTATAAAGTCGGCTATACTTTAGTTTGGTATATGCAATCGCCCCTATGAACAAGGTTTGAGTCAATGCACTAAATAACGAATAAATTAAAACAAATCGCGTAAAATAAAAACCTTCAATTGCTGTAACTCTATCCATTTGCGTTAAAAACTTCATTCCGCTGTCAAAAAGCGAAGTATCTGCAAATTCATTTTTTCCAAAATCAGAATCAGTATATGACAACGTTTAAAATGAATTGACCAACTCACGTGTATCATCATCATGTGGAGGTTCATAAGTTTCTTCTTCTTGTAGGATAAATTCTATTTGGTGCGATTTATAAAGGCACATACACTAAACGAGAATATGTCGTTATTTATAATAAGCTAAATTACTGATAATCCTGTATTCATCATATACCTTGTTGCATCTGCACAGTTCATCGCGCCAATTTTGTATGCAAAATAAATCAACATCAATGCTATCCTTAACAGATTCCCATCGTTCAAGTTTGCATTCATTTTCATTTTTCGCCTTTTTGGATAACGCAGTAATTTTTAAATCGATTTCCTGGCCGTCGCTTAATTTTCTTTTATTTGTCAAAACAGACGTTTCAACTTGAAGTTGGTCATTCTTTTGCTTCTTATCATTATCAGTTGTTTTAACTTCTTCGTTTTTCCTTACTGTTGCTCCTGAGAAGAACATATACGAGTTTTTATAAAGCTTAAGAAAAGAATGCTTGCTAGTGCATGTGCGACAGATATATTCTTCAAAGCTATCCAAATCAGGCAGCTACAATAATTTGACCGATGTCGGCTTAGTTCAATATGTTTTAATTTCTGCTAGCTTATTACACAATATATAAAATGCACAAACCGAAAAATTTTTTTCTCCTTGTTTTTCCCCATCAATGCAATTTTCATGAAACCAATCTTCACACAAAACACACTGCAAGTAGAAAAATATAACGTTTCATATATATATTTTTTGGAACTACACGTCATATGAATTATACAATATTTACTTGATGCATATTGGCTTCCTCTCGTTCTGGATCGTATTCAACCTTGCACCTTTGATTTCATTTAGTAATTTGAAGAAACATGTAAATGTCTACTTATAAGATTAAATTAGAATACAAACCAGCAAAACCGGCCTTCAAAATTATGATTATAGAAGTTGTTTTCATTTAACGCGTCTTGTGGCTTCGGTTCTAATTGACATGCACTTCCTTCAAAACGTGCTGCTCCGCAATCACATCGGAAATTACGCTTGTTAAACAGCTCGATAAGGTCATGATCTATAAATAGTTTAAAGGTAAGGAAATAGTAACTTTCTTTGATAAATGCAAATGCGCATTCTTTATTTATTACCTGCATGACAAGCAATGGAACAAGAATAACAAACACCTCCTGGACCAGAGCCTGTGCTAGACTTGCAAGTTTTACAAGCATATACAGCCTGACGTAAATATCCCTTACTATATGTGCAGCGATCAAAATTCCATGGTAGAACTTCTCTAGCTTCTTCTTCTAAGATCTTTTGCAACTCCAAAAACTCTCCAACTGTTACTGTATCTTTCGTGTCTTCTGAAGCCATTGCAGAAAATGTTTTTGTTTATCAAAAGCCCTTGAATTTATATCGATATCGGCCATGTGTCTCGAATTGGTTCTTGTAATACAAACTCCCAAAAAGGGGACGGTTAAGAACCGTTAATGCAAAACTACCCCAGTATCGCCCATTTTACTTATTTTTAATTGGTAATACAGTACAGTCTGGGAATATACCAAATTAGGAAATCGCATTCTAGAATGATCTACGAATAGATTCTTGATTTTGATTG